TGCTCTTCCGATCTCCCCAAAACCCCAAAACCCCATTGCTGAAAATTTCAAATTTTTATTGTGTGATAATCAATTAATTTAAAGCCAAGGAATATCTGGATAAATCTTAATTTTTTTTTGAGACTCTTAAATATTTTATTTGCAAATTTTAATCAATTTTTTCCATTAAGTTCGTTAGCAACAATGCTAGATACTCCGAGCTAAGCAAATAAAAAACTCAAGATAACATTTAATTAATAAAACAAAATTTTAAGTAAGAAATCAGGCTGTAACACATCACAGAAGTCCAAAAATTAAATCCTAGTTGACTAAAAATACTTAAATTTCGAGAGAAAATATAGCAATACGACAATATAATAATCAGAAGAGCAAAGCATTCTTTCCCCTTATCAAAATATCATTATGTCTGGGTGTACTGTAAATCAAAGTTTGATGTCAAAGAAAACGAGAGTACTTATTCAACTTATGTTTTCCATAACAATACCTCAGTTACTTTATTTGAACATCGCAACATTCTTGCCTCAGTATAGATCTCTGAATCACAAATCTATAGGAGATGGAATGATTGGAATTATTTTATCGTAAGAGTATTTTATTTCTTTAACCGATGATACTAGAATGTTTCAATTCTCGTTCCTTGTAGTTTCACTAATCATCGGTCCTTTACTCAAAATATACGGAAGAAAAAGGCTTTTGATATTTGGAACTTTGTTGCTAATGATTTCGACGCTTGGATTTATGTGTCTTGGTTTTATTCCTTAAAAATATGAGTATATTCCCTTATATCAATGATTCATTTAGTCTTTTATTCTTTTGGCTAGCGCTAGTATTCAGATTATTTTAGGGAGCAGGGGATTCTATAATATTTACATAAAGTAATTCATAATTATTCAATCTGTTTCTAGGTTATTCTATTATATGCAATGAATTTAAGGAAGAGAGAGAAAAATACATAGGTTTCATTTAGACATCGGCAGGACTGGGAATCATGGCAGGGCCAATCATTGGATAGATGATATATAATGAAGTTGGATTCTGATTGCTGTGTTGATGGCATCATAATTAGAGATCGAAGAAGAATAGCAGATATGTATCGTGAGAAACTACGAAGATGCTGAAAATTAATAGATGGAGACATTTTTAGCTAATGATAGAATAAATAATAACTCATCGACTGAAGATATAAAAAGTAATCAAGTAATTACCTTACAGTCCTAGCATATTCAGACAAAAATAAATTACAAAATTTTTCTTACGAATAAGAATGCTATGATTGCTTCATTCTCAACTATGATGTGTTAGATTTCAGTATTGTTTCATGATTCCTGTCTTGCAGATCATTTGATTAACGATCAAAAAGTTGGCTCTCACTCAGTTGGTAATCATAAATTCCTAATTTACATATTCTAGGATATTTCTTTTCATTTTAATGTTTGACATATGCAATTACTTGTTGCTGCATCAGTCTTTTAACAAGAATAATTTCTAGAAAATACCTAACTTTAACTTCATTTTATCTGACAACTTTAGCATTATTTATGTTTGGGCCATCAAAGATATTTAACTTAGGAGAGTAAGATTTTGTTATTCATATATCTACTAATAGTAACCTAACTCTCTCAGTCATAGGAGTTGGAATCCTTGGTTGCACTCTCGCTATGAATTGTCCAACCCTAATTCCAGAAATCATTTACTTAGAATTTAATCATAGATTAGATTAAGTAAAAAGAAGGGATTTAAGATAGTAAACAATTAAATGATTTGACTGCTAGTATAAATAGTGCAACTTATGGTCTCGGTGCTGTGTTCGCCCCTATCGTCGGTGGATTTTTATATTAGTTTGTTGGATTTCAATACGCCTGTGATATTCTTGGGTGTATTTCATTTTCTTATGGCACATTCTATTTATTCATAAGAATAATCCCAGAATTAAAATAATCAAAACAAGATGGAGCAAGAGAATAATAATTAAAACAGAAAAATTTTGAAGTCTAAAAAATTAAACCATCTTGGAATGAATTAGGATAAACTAATATCAATATTGAATTGATAATTAAAAGCAGAAGCAATAGTGATGTACCAACTATTGCTGACGACTAAAATTTCTCTCTATCAAACTTGCTAAGTTGACAAAGCTAATTAAGAATGATTTGATTTGTTAGAGATAGAGAGAAACAGATTATACTAATAATAAAATTAAAATAATGCAATATAAACCCAGATTCGACAAGTTACATTCTCTGAGTTTATTTAAGATAAAATTGATAATTAATTTAATTGACGTTAAAATTTACTTATTTCAAATTTCTTTTGATGGGGTTTTGGGGTTTTGGGGGGTTTTGGGGTTTTGGGG